TCCGTCATGTAGAATTACGTCAGTGCGGAAAGTATAATGCAATAAATGAACTTTCTAAAAAAAATCTGACCGTTCGAACCATACCAGTTTCATTCGTTACTTTCTTAAATATTCGCTTTTTTTCTAGCAAATACTTATTTAGGTTGCATCGTTTAACGTCGAGAAAAAATCTACACTGGAAGGATTAGTCCATTTTACAAAATTTGTCGAACTTGGAAATGATTTGAATATTGTTGATGGATTGACCGATCCAAATCGAGTAATTCTAATTTCGTTACATAAATCTCACGCGCAATTTTATTTACTTTTTGAAACGATAGTTATCCATTTGCATTTTAATAACTTTCAGTATATATATTTTATTTTAATCCATTTCGTATATTTCATCTGTTTGCATTTTGTATTGGTTTACAGAATCTCTAGGATTGATTTTCGTAGCATCCTAACTGAAGTGAGATAAATTACTGCTTTATATTTTGCTGTAAAAGAATTTTATTTAATTACAGAATTGAAATAAACATTAACTAATTAAATCCTTTTGAGTGAGGAATTGTATTTTTTTAAATCAATGCCCACAATACGATCTATAGCGCTTTCAGTACAGTCTGACATATATGTCACCTGCATTATCCGTAAAATATTCTCTGCTCTTCTTCTATTCGATAACGGGTAAAATTTGATTTTCAGAGATTCATACGTCAAGGATGGTTATGCAGATGGACAAAACGTGGTTTTATACCACACGCTGTGATACTTTTCAATGATGCGCTATTGTTTGCTTATCGATCGCAAACGGATGGCTTTATCCGCAATGCTTTTCTACCTTTACGTGCCATGACGGTAAAACTTTTGTCTTATTTATCTTTTATGGATAATTAATTTCATCAATTTACTTTCATACAAAGTATCGACTCAATCAGTCATAAATTCACTTGGTCAGAATGGGAATTTTGTAGGTGGAAGAAGGCGATACATTACATGTCGTAATAGATCCAACAATTTGTCTTACCATACAAGCGGTTAATCGTACATTCTTGCTATCCGGTGATTGTACAACAGTTCGAGATCTTTGGCTTGAAGAATTAACGAATGCTATACGAAATGCTAAACAATGCAAAATTGAGGAATTACCCCAAACTGAAACTTTTGGTAAGTTTAAATCTTGTTTAATTTAGTAAAAAAATATAAAAGGTAAAATATTAGAACGTTAGTATAATAATTTAAAACCGTTAGTAAAAAAAATCTTATGAATTATATCAAAATAGTCGAATGCTTAGTTTTTTAAATCACACCCTCGTTAATAACAAATATTTCAAAAATTACAGCCTTTTTATATCCTTTTTAGAATTCATTTCAAGTTGTTTGTATTTAAATTTGATTTCAAATTTTGCCATTACTATTTTTTTTTTGTTCTGATAGAATACTTTACCTCTAATATAATGTGAGATTTTAACTTTCTTGCATAATTATTTGATTTTTTACAGTGATTACCGAAGGAAGTCTAAACGATAAATTTACGCACAATAATGATATGTTGGATTCACTTAAATCAATCAATCCATTTGGTTTGCCACTACCTCACTTCAGAATTTGACATATGTTTTAAATGTTATATTTAAATTACATCGTAATTGATGCCTTAAATTACGTTATTAACTGATATATATATAATTTAGCAAATCAAAATTTTTTAAGAATATTAAAATTTTGATAAGTTTATTGATGTTTGTAGAAGATCAACTGTAGTTGTTGAAATTATTTGTTTCAGATATTGCAACAATGCCATACAGTACGCTTGATGTATGTTGGTATCGTCATGCTACTTTAGGAATTAATGCAATTATTACGGTAAATTTGCATGTTATTTCAGTTTATATTTCGAGCATAATATTTGAGTTGATATTTCAAAAAATTTATCATTCGTTTTCTTTGCTTTTTTTTAAGAATTCAACTTACAAATCATCTTATTTATTATTCTTCCAGGCTCCGGCCAATCAGATGTCTGGATATTTGTTGCGGAAATTCCGCAATTCCGCCGGATGGCAAAAATTTTGGGTTGTACATGCAAATTTTGCACTTACATTCTTTAGATCACATCAGGTAATATTGTATTAGCAATTATGTATAGAATCGAATGTGCCTTACATTTTCAATTATTTCATGAATTTATAATGACTGAATGTGAAAGGAATATTTTTCTAAGAAATGTTTTTACAAAGTGTGTTCGACCGCTTGGCAAGAAACGAAATTTCAGATTAGAAGACTTAGATTAGACAGCTTAATCAATCGCTGAACGGATATGTTAAATTGTACTTACTGATATAATAAATTTTAGGAACGAGAACCGGTAGCGGTATTGCCGATTATCAATTATCACATATCGTTACCACAACTTAATGATAAAGTTGATTGTGATAACGTTTTCAAGGTGTCGTATAATACACACTGTTACTTTTTTCGAACTGATAGTTTGTATGCTTTTTCAAAGTAAGTTTGCCAATAGATTGCTGTTATTATTGAAATTTAATTCCTTTGTCTGATAATTTGAGCAGTGTTGTTATTTCGAATCCATCGTCACTTTCATCCGAGCGTTAAAGTTATAAGATAATGAAACTCTTCGTTTTTTATCTCTTATTAGATCCAACGTACATATTAAATTAGTAAAAAAGTTTGAAATTTTGAAAGAATTCTGGACCAGGAAAAAAGCAATAAATTATAAATTAAATAAGAAGACACGAATTATTCAATTTCCAGATGGTACGAATGCATTCATGAATCAACCATCAACAGTAGTCCTGTCGATCTTATTGCAGGTCTTTCAATCAAATAGCACCACAATCTTATGTGCTATTTGTAACTTCTCGCTTCTCGCCAAACTTCCTATTTTCTTAAAAAATAACCGGCCTTCATATAACTGTGCCGAACCAATGACTAATCTGAAACTTTCTTTCTTCCAGCTAACGCAATTCCATTGTCACATATATAAAACAAGAAAATAGACAACCAAGCAAGGCAACATGTTATCCTATACTTCGAATGTTTGTTCAAAATAAATGAATCCTGAATTAAACATTAATTGACGCAACAAGCTCACCGACCAACTTTCGACTCATCCTCATTATCAGGTTACTTATTTTGTTTAAGCATTTTCGAACTATACATAATAAGTTTTACCTCTCTTGTTTCTTTTTTGAAATTTAATTTGATGTATACATACTTGTTTTTATGCAAATCATGTAGTCAAGACCAGTGTTTCTTATTGGTTAATCTTTGACTGAAAATTGACCAATATTGACCAATTTATTGAGCTCAACTGTATTTACCAAAAATTACCGATTTTGGAGAGGGAAATTTTTTCACGCTAATAAATAGTAATTTAATTCAGTTTTATAAAAAATCAATTTGAAAAAATAGTAATATACAATGTCGAAATATGAAGGGATCATATGTACGGTTCAAAACGTCGGAACGGATTAACGACTTAATAATGGCATTTCATATTATGCACTGCCGTATAACTAAAATAAAATACACGAGTTATTAATCGAAGCTAAACTGGTGATTCTTCGGCGAATGAATTCTTAAGAAAGAAGACTTAACTAGCTTTACGTTTAAGAGGTACTGAGACATTTCATTACAGATGAAATGTGAAACACATCGGTATATTATTTGACTTTCATTTTCACGTCATTTTTGATTGTAGCAATAACTATTGTTATAGCACAGCAAATAACAACGAAAACAGTAACAAATAAAACGAGTTTTAGTGAAGATACATTTCCAGTTGGTATTTTGAACTGTACTTCATTGTATTTCAAGAATGGTATCATTAACCAATCGCAGCGTGATTCGTTTGAACAATCACAAGATGCCTGCAAGAACAGAGGGTAAGAAATTTGAATTAACCATATATAAAATGCGCTTCAAAAAAATTTTTACTGCCATTGACATCGTCATTACAAGTGATTTATAAAGGAAAAGTAAATCATATCAAAGACGCGATTAATTTACCCAGAAAATTCTAATATATCACATGATTAGCATCCATACCTTGACTAAATACTTCTTGCAGTGGTTGGTTAGGAAAGTTGAATTTTCCAAACATCTCAAAAGCAATTGTGGAGCCGATATTGTAACTGTAGCATCTGAAATTAAAGTCTATTGAGGGATATTTTTAAAAATGTAAGAAAACACCTTTCTCCCTTTTTGATTTTTTTTCTCGTATGATGGCTTACCGAAGAATATCAATGAATTAAATGGAGCACTCTGACAATTAATAATAACGTAGAAGATAAAATTCTGTATAAAGCAGCCGTGATATATACAATAATCCACGTCCAATTATTATTAACAAGCTATTTTAATCATCCAGAAAACAAAACAAAACCTTTCCCGGTAGCAGCATGATAACGCAGATGTATTGGTAGCTCAAAATACTCGCTATAAACGAAATTCTTTCTTAATCCTCGTTTTGAACATATATAAAATGGTGTATTTTCTGATTTCTCTCTTGAAGCCTCAATGTCGAATGATGCCTCTGCACATGTATGAGTTTGGATATGTTTTATACTGCAATACTGTTTTTGAATAAAGTTTCACCTTTCTTTCTTCTTTGCTTATAAAAAATGAAAGTGGAGTTCTTTTTCCTTTTTACAAATTTGTTTACATCGTTCCACTCTTGCAAATTTGCTTGAAGCCTCATAAACTTTTCATGTAAAAATGACAGATTACGCAGTTATCCCTAAATAACGATGCCAGAAGTTAGTAAAAAATTTAAAAAACACCAAAAGATACAGTGATTGAGTATTAGAAGACTATACTGCGTAAACTAGCTATGTTAAGAATTGTTAATGTAACAGATCTGAAGGCTAGCATTAAAGGATATTAACAATTCCTTCCTCAAAAATAACTTTAGATTGTTTCATTGATTACTATAATAGTCTAAACCTCAGATGAATACCTTTCAAGATCGATATATGCACCTGCAGGGATCATAAACTTGTAGGCAATTAAACAATCCATAAATCGATTTGAACTGCCGATATTAACATCCAACCTAAGATGCCGGTGAAGACCACTACCACGTCCATGAAATTAGATACTTAAGTTGAAAAGATGTACAGCAAACAAAAAGTAAGATTGTGATTGTTAATTAAATTAGGCACTCGTGCCAAGCAAGAAGGATTTCAAATGCAAAAAGAAAATCCCTAAAATTGAAGACAAAAGCTCAATATTGATTCAAAGATTGTAAAACAAACCTTTATATCAGTTTTACGTATCGTTATGGCATCGATCCAATCGCAATGTTCACAAAAAACTGAGCCAAATACAGCAAAACAAAGAAAAATATAAATAATCATGCTATCCCAGAAGCTCCCTCCATTAAACTATAAAATTTAAAATCAAAGAAATCTCATGGAAAATTTTGATATTGCACCTTTAATCTTCTTAGTATTGGATACAACTATTGTAAATATCAAAAGTTACAAGGACATGCCTCAAATTCGCATTTTCAGTGAAACATAAAAAGATTCATCAACAAAACGGAATTTACCACTTTTATTTGAATTCCTTCCATATCAGTGAACTTACTGATTATTGAAGTTAGACAAAGTAATACGACAAGATTAATGAGTCTTCAAAAAGAAAAAATGAAATTTCACAGTCGTCTAAATAAAACTTATTTTTTTTCATACATATTCGTATACATAATGAGCAATGTTAAATTATGAATTTCAATAAATCTATATTTTCTGTTTTGCAAGTTTAATGCGGACAGAAACATAACCACAAAACTTTTAATTATTCAATGTGACAGATTTGCAAACTGAAACAGAGTAAATATCGGATATGAATTTAATGCAAATTTCGCTTGTTGTTGGGTTATATGAATATATTCGAAACGCGAAGTCTTTCAATCAGCAAGAAGAAATTTTTTTTTTTTGTTGGCTAAAATCTAGAATGCATAATTAGCCCTATTTCGACAAATAACCACCAAGATATCTTAGTATCATGCAAGAATAATAATAAAAACTTCGCATCCATAACTTCCATGTTTCGTAAATGAAAATGACAGGTATAGAATTTTGAATGAAGAGATTGAAAGAAAGAATATGATTTACAAAAAAAAGATAATAAATATGTATAAGAAAGCATTAATTTAGCGATGTATTTCAACTGCATATATTAAGTATTGGGAGCAGCAGCAGTTTGGCTACTTGAATCTGCATCACCTCGATTCCGATGATGTGGCCTTACAACTGTTTTTGATCCTTCTGACTGGAATAAATAAATTACATATGAAAGTACAGCGGCACTATAGTTTGAACAGCAAACAATGAATGCTGCACCACAAGGAAAAGATGAACAGGAATTAAAAACATGAAAAATAAAAAAATTAGGAAAACCATAAAGCGCAAATATATAACAACAAATAATATTTACATGAAAATGCGCGTTCATCTGTTCCGAAATATTAAGTACTTCGGCAACATCAGGACGTTTACTCGGATTCGAACAAATGCATCGAGATATTAAATCACGCAACTGAAAACAATATTAACTTTTGTAATACAGTCATCCATCAGATCCTGTTATATTATATTATTTATAATAATATCTGTAAACATCAGTTGTTTCGAACTTGGATAATTAAGTAAAGTGACAAGTATACTCAGAATAAAACCTGTTGTGAATAAATATCAGCTGGTAAAGGTGGATATTCGCAATTCTCAATCTTTTTGCACAATGAATATAAATTCAATTTATCACCATAAAATGGTGATTGCAACGCAGCCATCTACAAAAATTTGAAACATGAAAAAATATAAATGCAAAATATTCATCTAATGTCTTATGAAATAAATAACCACAGGCTCGTTACATGAGTTTTCAAATTATCTTTACTTCATCAATTCATCAGGTTTGGCATTCAATTCATTTTAATCTCATGGACACTATTGTATCTTTGCATAAATTCATCATTATTTAACCATTTTGTCTCCCAAGTAAAGAGATATTTAGATGAAATTTCAAGATAGGATAAGAAATTAATCTGGAAAGAAAATTTTTGAATTCAAATTCAGCAGAAATGAATTTGCAACAAATTACCTCATATAACAAGCAACCAATGCTCCATAAATCTGATTTGAAATTATACCCATTTTCTTGTATCCTTTCAGGACTCATATAGTACGGTGTACCGACTAATGAATGTGCGGCTGTAGTTTTTGAACTGAAAAATCTGCCAAGACCAAGATCTCCAAGCTTCACGGCACCATCCGCAGTAATGAATACATTTGCTGGCTTAATATCTGCGGAATACATCAAGTAATTTATAAGAAATATGCTTTTCCGTTATAACAAACAAGAATGTACAGGTGAACATGAGATATAAGAGGTGAAAAGATATGATGAATATAAGAATAAACGAAAAGGAAATTGATCACTTAGAAAACCTACTGAAAGTATAAACAAAATCCTACCTCTATGCATGATTCGTTTCGAATGCATGTGCTCCAACGCACGCACTAACTGCACAAAGTATTTCCAAATGGTACGTTCGGGAATAAGGCGCCTACTATTCTTGAAATGCTGCACAAAATATGAAAATTAAGGCATGTAATTTCTAGTAAATAGTGAATGGACAAACAATGAGCAGATAGCAAACATTATGTAAATTTAAGAGAGCTATAATGACAAGGGCAAATATGGCAGCGATAAGTGTTGCGACATCTCGTAAAACACTTTTTACTAGCAATTCCATTTTATCGCATGTTCTATTTCTATAAAAACCCGATATTATACATGTAACGATATATAGTACCCCTGCATTAATTTTCTTTTGAATTTCGAAAAAAAAATTCTGCAAACTAACCCGTATCATACGACTTAAATCACCTGCATCTGCTAGCTCCAGAACAATGTTTAATTGATTGTTTTCGATAAACGAAGCATAGTACCGAATAACGTTAACATGATTTAGTTGCTTTAGAAGATCAATTTCTTTAATGCAATCCTGTCGAGCCTTCGCATCGACCATATCATAAACCTTAAACAGAAACATAGAATGAAAGTGAGAAGATTTAGAAGATACATCGATAAATGAGAATTTTTTGGATGTTTAAGATTTTTTTTATTAAGTTTCCGCGCATGCTATTGGTGATGTTTTCATGCTCCACTGATTATCATCAAGAAAATAAAACTTATTTTAGCACAAATGCACTACAACATATTCAAACGTAAGATGAAATTCGATATTCTAAAATAAAACCATTTTTTTTTTTTCAAATCCTAACAAACACATCTGATGAACGATAAATAATATTAGTTCAAATCTTATTGGAATAAATTTTTAGCAAATAATAACCTGAACTTTCTTCAGTGCAACATAGCTACTGTCTTCTTTACATCGTGCCTTATACACTTCTGAAAACTGTCCTTTACCGATTTTTTTCTCAATTTCAAATGCATCCAGTTTTCCATATTTTGCTGATAGATCATTTGTCGACATTTCCTTTTTTCCCTTAGTTTATAATATATGCATATATAGTTCTGCAGAAATAAATTTGCGTTTGCATGAAAAATCTATGTTATATATAAAACTGAAGAATTAATTTAACATTCTAAATCATAACTTATTTGAGATGTAGTTTGCAAAATTATAGAACTGAGATGAAGCGGAAAAGGGGGAGGATCCAATGACAGTAAAGTGCGAATCATTTAAGAATCACTGACTTGCTTGGATCTAAAAAAATAGCAGGAAATTGAGAAATTTCAATTGTTTCTTAATGTTTATATTTACAATGGTAGATTGTGTTTAAAAACAGTTGGAACAACCGTAGGTTAGGCAATCAATAAGACTTTTTAAATTTTCCCTTTTGCATGATGTGTAAACACAGATTTTTAGTAACTTCGACGATAATGTTACTAATAAGAAAAAACATGAAAAAAATCAAAAATTTCGGAAAAAAAACTTAAAAAAAGAAAACTACTATGTTTCTAGTAAACAATAATAATATGAGTACGATAAGAAAGAGAGAACGTACACGGTGATGGTGTAGCGATAGGATCGCCCATTCCTGTCGCCAAGAGGAATGCGATGTCATCATCTCCGTCAAAAGTGTATATATGACATGACAGTTCGCGGAATGTGGACATTGCTGCAAATCTTAATTGCAGCATTGAAATTAATATTTGAAATGACCGACTTCGAGAAATTGCTTTTTTTTTTCATTACGGTGACGCTACCCTAATATTATAATAATGCTGTCCTCCAAGTGTTTTACCAACATTATGAATGTAGGCGACTATAACAGTTGACTGATTGTAAGTAGAGCTTAGCACTCCAAATGAAGTATTTA